AAAAAATTTAAACATATTTTTAAAAAAAATACACAAACCCCTAAACACCAATTAATTAATTACCGTCTAAGCGACCCACTTAGCCCATTTTTTCAATCATGATTAGAACCAAATCTTTTATACAAAGTTTCTGGTTCGATTCTTTGAACATTGAACCATAAACAGGCGGTTCATAACCGGAATCGAAAGCAATCATTACTAAATACTATATTATATTGACCTAATTTTGGGTACTAAGAGTGAAGGCAAAAATTATATATGTGAGTTGTGAGGGGAAGACAAAATATGGAAGAATTAAGGAAAAGGTGCAAACACATTTAATTGATTCAAGCCAAAAGCATGAGAAAAACACTACAAGGAATTATGAAGGGCCAGCCGGCAGCCGCAACCTTAATTAGCCATTAATGCCGACGTAAATTTCAGGGCGCGACAGTACGCTAAAACCCATTTTGTTCTCCTTGACGGATTTCAAGAAACCAAGTCTGGCCTATCGTCCCGCGTCCCAGGATTAATGCAAATATCCCATCACTCTCTCTTTGTAACTTTTAATTAATTATTTGGTTAATTATCATTTTGTTCCCCCAAGGGTTTTTCACGTGGGCGTTGCAAGGGCCACCACTTAATTCTCTCCTGGTTATCTTAATTATCCGTCAATTTTGACTTATTTATTCATTATTAGTTGTTTCAAAATGTTAACTTTTAAAAAATTGTCAAAATAATTTTTTTCAATTCACTTTTTAAGAAAGTCATTTTACATGTAATTAACTATCAGTTAACTGTCAATTTTACCAAACATTTTTTACAGTTAGCTAATGTTATCAACTAATTAAACATACTAACTCAATGAACTAACCGCTATCGGCGACTAATAACTATTTACCAAACATCCCGTAAGATAGTGATGCATAAAATAAATTTAGAGATGTGCCTCAATTGTCTACATAATCCTCTGTTGAAATAAAGTTGATTGATGCTCCCTTTCATCAATTAAGTTCCGAAAAATTAGAGACTGATTGAGAACTTAAATCTCATAATGTATTTCAATTGACCTATATGTTCACAAATGATTGTACATTAATGCTCACAACAAAATTAAATTTATACTTTATTTTATCTTAACTTTACACTACTGAAAATTATGAAACTTTCAACCACCTGAAAATGATCTTAAATCAAGTCGAAACCCTTGTTCCGTACACTTTTGGTGTCCGGAAAAACCTTTATAGCTATTTCTGACCACTTTTTGCTTTCAATTTAATTTAAGATCACTTTCAGGTGGTCGGAAATTTCATAATTTCCAGTAGTGTTACGGCGGCTAACAAAGCAAAACTTCTCAACTTATTTTGAATTAATTAACCAGTTGAGTTGTACTCCGAGAGCATTCGTCAATTAAATTTTAATTGGGTTGTCAAAGAGATAAGGTAACGAGATTCTTGAGTTAGTAAAAATTATTTATTTTGCTTAAAATAGTTTAAATTTGACATTTTTTTTATCAACAATCCTCCTTAACATGCGACATACATATAAATTTTACTAAAAATTCTTTTGAAACGATTGATATGGCGCCCTAACTTTGAACTAGGTATTTCATTGGCCGGTCTTCTTTTATAAACTTTTTTATAACAAAAATTAAAGAACAATAATCAGAAATGTTTGAATAATGAGTGTGACAGAAGACTTCATTAAGTTTTTGTTTAAAAAAAAAAAAAAAAAGTACAATACACTTGCTCTAACTACCAAAATAGTTCAAACAAGTCTATAATAAATAACATTATATTAAACAAAGACCTAATAACATTAAACAAAGACTAGGTTTCCAAGCTAGTAGTGTGGATATGATAATTAAGTTATTTAGGACTGTATCAGATCTTGTTATAGATGGGATATGATTCTTCGTAGATAATAAGATATGGTTCTGTAAGGCATTGATTTCAGAAGCTTTAATTACGATGGAATCTGTCATTTATTTATTTAATATATTATGGAATACAACATGGTTTATTTCTAATTTGCAAAAAAGAATTACTCTCTTACAACTTCACATTGTTTGACAATTAACCATTAGAAAATTATGTTATTATATTGTTCGCAGAGGCTTAGTTAATAGCTCTCTTCTTCCTTCCTTCTCTAAAGGTTGAACCCAATCTCGAGGGCTTCCAACCCCGACCCGACAAAATATCTGAGATGATATAAATCATAGTACATAACTCAATTGAATTACACAGTTGAAAATTATGGAATTTCCGACCACCTGAAAATGATCTTATATCAAGTCGAAAGCTAAAAGTGGTTGGAAATAACAACAAAAGTTTGTCCGGATATTAAAAGTGGTCGGAACCAGGCTTTCGACTTGATTTAATATCATTTTCAGGTGGTCGGAAATTTCATAATTTCCAACAGTAGAACCACAGAAACTAGGAATCTCCTCACTTTGAGAGATTACTTCCACACTGACATGGGTGAGACTCAGTCCCTGGCCAATTGAGCTGCCAACTGAGATGCCTATGCTGACTGGCTTAGCTTAATAGCTCAATAGGGCATTTGAGGGAATAGTAAAAAGGGACAACTGGGTATAAATATAAGGTGTAGTGGTGGGTGAGGAGTGAAGAGTGAAGAGTGTAAACAGTTGTTTTCTACTTTAGTTTCTTGTTTTTTCAACACAGCATGCAAAGCTGCTGCTACTGATGCCCTGTTTTCACTTTGCATTATATTTCCAGTCAACAAAAAAGCTCTCATCTTAGCTTCTTCACTTTTTCTCTCTGATCTGCTAATGGAGTTCAATCTGGAAAACCCATTGACCAGCAGCTTCAACGACCACCACCACCTTGACGCCGTTCCGGCTCTCTTCGCCGGCGAATCCGATCACATGCCTTCCCTCCTCTCCTTCAACCACCAAATTTCCTTCTCCATCCGCCGCGAAGCTTTTTCTCTCACTTACCGAGTAAGCTTAGCTTAGCTTTCCAAGAAATTGTTGATTTTCTCCCATTCTTTAACGCATTTTGTTAATTGATTCTTTTGAGCGTTAATTAATTGCAGACCCAATTTATTTACAAGTTCGACCGATCTATAGCCTATCTAGCTATGAATTACATCGATCGATTCCTCTCCAGACAAGCAGTTCTTGTAAGATCTTTTTCGACATTAAAAACCAAACAATATAATGCTACCTGCAAATTTCGTTAGTACGAAGTGTAATGAATCTATGAAATGTTTGGCATCAGGAAAACAAACCTTGGGTTGTACGAATCCTCGTAATTTCATGCCTTTCGCTCGCCGCGAAAATGAGATGCATCGATTTATGTCTCTCTGATATTCAGGTGAATTCTCACACCCATACCTAATCTATCTTTTCTGTGGGGTGTGATATGATTCTTTTCTTTCGTTTTGAAATTGATAAAATGGTGTGGAACAGAGAGATGAAGGTTTGATGTTTGATTCCCAATCGATTCATCGGATGGAAGGGATGATTCTGAGCTGTCTAAAATGGCGATTGAGATCCATCACGCCATTTTCGTTCCTGCATTTCTTTACTTCCTTGTACCCGCTGGAGGATCCCTCCATTGCCCAGTCTCTTATTCATCGAGCTTCAACTATCATCTTCACTTCTCATTACGGTATATAAAATTGTTTTTCACACAATTATAAACACTATTAGAAATTTGATGCTTTTGCACCCAGATGGGTGGTCAAGTTGGTGAAACATAATTCAGGTACTTAAATGTTACGAATTTAATTATTGCCTTATTACATTAGAAATTTGATGCTTTTGTACCCAGATGGGTGGTCAAGTTGGTAAAACATAATTCTGGTACTTAAATGTTACGAATTTAATTTTTATCTTATTACATTAGAAATTTGATGCTTTTGCACCCAGATGGGTGGTCAAGTTGGGGAAACATGATTCTGGTACTTAAATGTTACGAATTTAATTCTTACCTTATTACATTAGATATTTATAGTGCAATTTACCTTTCATGCATGATTCACTATCGGGTACTGACTATGAATTTATTGTTTATCTTGTTGAGAGTAAGTACAATATTAATCAAATAATAATGATGTTTTGTTTTTTGTATCTAATGATAGATATCAAGCTGTTTGAGTACAACCCATCAGTAATTGCAGCATCAGCGCTTCTCTATGTAGCTGAAAAGTTGATCCCGTTGCAGTTTTTGTCGTTTAAGAATGCAATTTTCCGATGTGAATATGTAAAAAGTGTAAGGTTCAATTATACTTATTGTATGATATGTGTCACACTCAAAATTTGTTACTTTTTTAAATTAAAATTGTCTAATTATTGTGTAGGATGAAATTTTGAACTGTTTAAGTGTAATGCGAGAAACGGTGACAAGAGGGATTGAGTCAAGTATAGATGCAATATCTGATTGTTCGTTGACACCGAGAAGTGTTCTTCACCGGGAGAGTGGTATGATGCCGGAGAGAGACGGCGGCATGAAGCGTCGGAGATTGAATAATTTTTGCGACGACCAAGAATATTGTTGAGTCTTAATTATATTAACCTTCAAATTTGAATAGCAAGAAAATGAAATCCCAAAGTGTACATTTTGCTTTTAGAGATACTTATGGCCTACCATTGATATAGTTCTTAAATATTTTTAACTTATCTTATTACATTAGGGCAATGTGCCTTTTATTTGATAGAGTTATCGTTTTTGTTCCTTCCACATCATCAACAAAACAAAAGAAAAAAAAAAATCATATTAGTACAGAATTGTCTTTATTTTCCTATACTCCAATAGGCACGTATGCAACACGCAGTCCATTACACTTTTCTCCACAAATTTTTATGGTGACAAAATATGGAGTGTTTATTGGCTCCGCACCTTTGCATATCATTTTCATGCACCCCAGTAGACACGTATGCAACATGCAATCACAAATTTAATAGGCACGTATGAAACACTCCTCTCCATATCAACTTTTTGCTCACGTGAATGAATTTTTTCTCGCATTTGAGATGTCCTTATAGAGTCTAAGTGTCACAAGAGACTGCCAAAATTTCGCATATTACTATATAATGGTCCAGTTGAATGTGCAGTCAAACTGGAGAGTAAAAAGGAAGGGGAAAAGTGAGAGGATTCCCCGCGAAAGGGAAGTGGGGAGCGGGAAGAAATGTCTTTTAAATCGGTCCAAGTAGTGTTGTGAATTTGGTGGGGAGAAGAAAGAGGAAGACAGCCTTGAAGAAAGGTTGTTGTCATTGAGATATTAGTATCTTTGTCGAAATGTATGAACAAGTAATTGTTGTTTAATAATTCTTGTGAGCAGCATGGGTCGCTAACTTTCTACAAGACCAATTCACAGTCTATTTAAAATTATCATAAGATGAGAATTTGATCAAGCTCGACTGATTTCAGTTCGAATATGTTCTAAGCTAATAATCTTCAAATTCCAGAATCATTCGTCTAAACGACAAAAAATTTATAACTGCTCTACTGTATTTCAATTTCAATATGTTCCAACCTCATTCTCTCCAATTCTCAGAATTATGTTGAAGTAATATAGGGGTATAATTCACAATTTCACATTACAATGATCAAAAGCATACACCATAGTCCTCAATGGTAACTCTACATAATTTATCATTTATGTGTTCAGAATAGGTAACTAAAAGATATAATGTCATAATGTGCCTAAACAATCGAATAGCCATTAGGGTCCAACGAACCCCACATAGCATATCTTGGAAATACCATATTCTTTAAATGACCACTATTCAAGCTTGGGATCATTCTATAATCCACTTAGTCCAATATCGAGTACCTGATCCTACCCCTTCAAGAATGAAATACAAATTTGCCCTGCTTTCAACTAGAGAATCTATCCACTTAGAAACATTAAACCAATTGTTTTCAAAAAAAGAAACATTAAACCAATCACTACATGTAGTGGCCCATAGAAGCACCAGAACAAGTGTGCATTTCTCGCACTCGAAGTTTAATAAGTTCAAACACTACTATATATGTCATTAAACAAGTTTCTGATTAAAAAATATATGATTTCAATAAGCATATCAACTAGAATTGAATGACATTCCACATTTTTAATAAGCATCTATCCAGCTGAATTACTCCAACCTTAAGAAAGCAGATACAGAAAATCGAAGCAGAAAAGAAACTCAAAGTTAAAATTTGCAAGAGATGGATGTGTAAAGCAGGCACCTTTGGATGTGTTTCTTCTGTGAGACGAGGCATTTGAGAATGCACTCTTTGCAAAAGACATGACCACCATTCTGGCAACACAGCGGGTCGATGAAAGGTTTCAAGCAGAGACAACAGGCATCGAATGGGCTTTATAGAATCCTTTCCAAGTCGCTCCTTCTGCGTTCCATATCCGAGCTTCCGCTTCTCGTCGTAGGTGAAGAAGGCGAGATCGTTGTTGTTCTTCGAGTGTCTCTGAGGCATCTTTTAGTACCCCTCAAATCAAGCTTGTCTGATTGGATAATTTTATTCATAGTAAATTTCGCAGAGAGTTGGGAGAGAATCGAATCAGGGGAAAACCCTAACCTAAAAATTGCGATTGATTTTGGAATTTGGGTTTTGCGTAAAAAAACGTAATAAATTAATAATCATTGTACTTAATGACAAAATTAAGGGATTTTGGTATAATGGTATCCCCTAACCATGTTACAAGTTTAATTAGATGTGACCTACACGAGTTTAGCTCAATGGTTTAGTAAGCAGTATTTAGGAGAAGAGACCAAGGTTTGATCATCGGCAGCAACAGTGCTAAACCGGAGAAGTTTAATTAGATGTGCTTACAAATTCATTCATCTAAAGATTCGACGGTTACGAGTTTATCACTCCATGTAGTAATTAAGATTTTTTTTAGGCAGAAGTGTCAAATAGACCACCCTTCTACTCCTTCGTAGTGCTCAATTTACACCTTCATTGAAAATATGTTGCAATTAGGCACATTAACTTCCTAAAATTATTGAAATAGCATTTTTTACATGTTTGAGTCCGGTTGCCAGTCAAAATGAATGACATGGAATTTAATGAAAAAAAACAAAAACAAAAAAAAAAACAAAAAAAAATAAAAAACAAATTTGTGGTGACACCTCCACCACCGCCTTATCAACACCCACCAGAATCAATGGCAACCTCGCCTTCATCATCAACACACCCACCATTTGTTGTTATCTGAGCAAGCATTTTCTAATCAAATTAAGTATACAATGACTATCGATATTTTCTTCTTCATCAGTTTTTTATTCTTGCTATTTCTTTAAAATCAGTAAAGACCCACAGTTTTCCATGTTCTTAGCTTCATATTACCAAAAGGGGAAATACATAAAAAAAAAAAAAAAAAAAAAGTACTCTCACATGCAGGGCAATGGTGAAATCTCAAAACGCCACAGTTCCTAAACCAGCAAACTCAAAATCTGAAGAAATAAACCATTTGACACAAGAAAAACACCCAACCCAGAGATGGGAGATTAGAGAGTTCAAGTTCAGAGAGAGATAAGGGAAGGTGGGATTGGGGGAAGAACGTGGATTTTCTTCAAAAAAAATCACTTTTCCGTAGCTGTGAGGCAAAACACCCTCTGTGATGTTCATCGTAACGTCCCTGGAGTGATAGAGTATGGGGGCATGAGATCGAGATTCGAGTTGGAATCGACGCCAGCAGCGACTTCATCATCAACACACCCACCAGAATCAACGGCGGCCCCCCACCGCCCACGCCAAAATCGACGCCAGTAGCGACGTGAAGAAGAACAGCAGGAGGAAATAACACCCCGCCGTTAACGCCGTTCGCCCGCCTTCCCATATCCAAGTCGTCGACTCGATGACGGCGGTAGAAGACGAGCTCTAGCAACGGCCGCCGCAACGACGGTGACGATGAGAGTAGCGGTTATTATATTAGAGGAATCCGCAGCGGAGACGACGACAGATTTTAAGGATTTGCGACGGACATAATGAATTGCGAAGCTCCGACGCGTCGGCGGTAGTGATAGATGTTGGAGGATAGGCTGTGATAGACGAAGTTGCAGAAGACATTGAAGCTGTTGGATGAGGATGCGGAGGAGTCGAGGAAGACGCTGCACTGAGAAATAAATTTTAAGAAAAATCAGGTTTTTAATTACTAATTCAGATTTGGCCTAATTGTTTTTCTTATTTTTATTATTTTAATGCCATGTAATCAATCACATGTAATTGTAACCATGCCACATCATCAAAAATGGATGGTAACCTACAAAAAAGTATAATTAAACAAAATTAGAAGGTAAGTGTGCCTAATTACAACATATTTTAATTTAAGGTGTAAATTGAACACTACAGAGGAATAAATGAGCTTATTTTACACTTCTGCCCTTTTTTTATTAACCGAAAAAAATTAGGGGATTTTGATTTAGCTAGTCCTCAAGATAGCTTCTCTGTAGCCTATCACTTGTGATCCTAATCTACCCAAACGACGCCGTCGGCGAAACGCCAGCATCGTATACTCGGAAAATCGTCGTTGTCACACGAAGAACACCCGAATCAAACAAACCATCAAACATCATCATCATCGTATTTCCCAATTCCTTGTCGATTGTTTGGTTTCTACAGAGTAGAGATAGAAATACTGCGATGGTGTCGCCTAAGTGGCACCCAACGGAGGATTCCGAACGTCCACCGACGGCGATCATGCACCAGCCAGCCTCCCCTCGCTTTCCTTTCGGGACGCCCATCTCCGGGGCGCAACGGAAGATCGCCATCCCCGTCGATCTCAGCGACGAGAGCGCCTACGCCGTGAAGTGGGCGGTCCAGAATTACCTCCGACCCGGCGACGCCGTGATCCTGCTCCACGTCCGCCCCACCTCCGTCCTCTATGGCGCCGATTGGGGCGCCATCGACCTCTCCCTCGTGTCGGAGGCCGCTTCCGCCGCCAGCGACGAGGAGTCGCAGCAGAAGCTGGAGGACGATTTCGACAATTTCACCACCTCCAAGGCCAACGACGTGGCGCAGCCGCTGGTGGAGGGGAATATTCCGTTCAAGATCCATATTGTGAAGGACCACGACATGAAGGAGAGGCTGTGCTTGGAGGTTGAGCGCCTTGGGCTCAGCGCCGTCATAATGGGGAGCAGAGGCTTCGGCGCTTCCCGCCGGAGCGCCAAAGGCCGGCTTGGAACCGTCAGTGATTACTGTGTGCAACACTGTGTTTGCCCTGTTGTTGTGGTCAGATATCCCGAAGAGAAAGATGGCGGTGAGGGCCCCACAAAATCCGCCGTCGATAGAATTCCGGCGCTTCATCCTGTGCCGGAGGAAGAACCAATTTATCACGATGCATCCGATAAAGCTACAGGTATATATCTATTTACCCCAAAGATTGCAACTTTATATACTCTCAGACATGAACTAAGTATAATTAGCTTCTTCTTGGATTTAGTTTCAACTTTCAATAGTGTTGAGCCAAAAGATTTTAACTTCATTTTGATCATTAATGTTTTAAAGTTGTGTTCTTTATATGTCTACGTGACATTGTTAGCTGACACAATCTGTTAGTTGATTTAGAAATAGGTACTCTGTATTTTTGAGTGACTAAATAAACCTGCAGTCACTACCCGAGCATCATGTGACCCTAGCCAGCAAATGACCACGACCAACTTGGTTGGGTTGCTCCCAGTACTATGTATTTGTATGATCAGAAGTAAGCTGTCGGTTATTCAGTTATAGATGCTTTTCGGATAAGCTTGAATTATGTTCTATTGATTTCAAGGAGAAATACTTTTGGAGTGCATGTTGGGGAAGTGGCAGTAGGATTCATATGAATCTATGTTATATTTAGTGTTAATCTGGTGTGTAGTTCGGTGTGTGATAGTGATATGAATGGTGATATGTTTTGCAGTCTTGTGTGAGGATTCTTTGGTTCGATTGTCTTAGTAGTACTAGGTTGTTTCCGTTCGAGTTTGGAAGAGTAAGAGGGATAATAGTTCCCTTCTCTCTCGGTCTCTCCCTGGCAGCTTATACTTAGGTTTTCGAGGTCTTCCTCTGGTTTATATTGAAGTTATATAGAGGAAAAACTTTTATATGCTAACAATTAACATTGACGACTGGTTGAATTGGAACCTGTGACAAACCCTTTGCTGAAGTTGTTGGGCCGAAGTTAACGGCTACAACTTCCAAGTAGGATGGTCGATGGAAAAGTTTTGGTGTCACTTATTGGGAATGCTTTTAAACTTTCACAAATCTTCATAAGCTACTTGTATTTTACCATATGTATCATGCAAATGCTGTGATTCTTTAACATGGATAGGCAAATAAGTTCAGACTATATACCTTCATGTGACGATGCAGATATGGAGAATGCTTCTTGAGCAACAGATGATCAGAGATCGAGACAAGATGTTTAGAAGTGATGAAATGAAGGCAGTCGGGTGTGGAGCTGTGCAAAAACGTGAGAAACAGATATGGTAAATCTTGATCGAGTTTGTTTCCAGCCACCGGTTAAGTACAAACTATAACCGGTATGGTCTACTGAGTTTCTTTGCTTTGCTTTTGGTCTTTTTACTATGCTGCATGCATTGCTTTTCATGTACCAAAAGATGCTTCCCAAAACCTCTTTTCAAGATCATCCTTCCACATTCATCATTTACTGAACTTTCAACTGTTTTTTTTTTTTTTTTTTTAAATGTTGTAATGAATCTCTGCTGCTGCTGCTTATTAGTTTCTTGGTAGTTATGGGTTGATGTTCATGAGTCAAGCATTACTAGCTACCATTTTGGTCTAACCATAAGATGTGAATTGATAAGACTTGGGTGCTTAGGGTGTTGGTGTAAATAGAATCCTATAACCCCAACATCCATTATAGGTTAATCCATTGAAATTTGAAACCTTGTAGATATCAAGCATATGCAACTCGACTGGGATTATCCCAAATGACCAATAATCTATTGATTGTAGCAAAAATAAGATGTGAGCTCGGGTGTGTTATGTCGTCCTCAGGGGATTGGGGATTATGGCACGCAATATGCAATCACAAGAAACTAGACACTAGCATAAGGAAATCAACAAGAAGCTAAGCAAATCATAGCGAGATTGAGGCTACGGTAACTAAACAAAGTAACACAAACACATATTAACAAGATGTAAACACGAAATAAAGAAATAGGACTCAAGCTAGGGAGCATTATCATCTAGATGCTTAACAACCTAAGGGATTAGGGAGAACAAGTAACCAAGGAATCAAGCGGGAATGCACGTAGGTATCCTAGTCTACGAACCATTCTCATGATTAATAAACAAGGATTAGAACAAGGAATTGCCCCACTTTCGTGGTGAATCAACTCCAAGTCCATCAAGCACACAAAGCATCCAAAGCCCCCAATTTCCCCTATTTTCGTAGGAAGAAATCGGGTCTATGCAAGGGGTGGCTTGGATTCATCACCCAGCTCTCGTTGAGGCAAGGAATCCTCCAAAAACAAGCTAATGGATGTGTACATCAAACATTAACAAGATATAAATACAAAACCTTTACAAACACATGAACCCTAGGTTGGAGTTCTTCCCCTTTTTTGCAATAATCACAAATCAAGCATCAAGATAGATAATACAACCCTAACTCAAGTCCAAAAACTAACTACTCATGATTAAATAGCATAACTAACACAAAAACATAAGCATGAAACATAAATCTTGCAAAATAAAGAGATAAAAGGAAGAACTTATGTATTGAAAATGGAAGAAGAATCTTCAAATGTTGGAATCCAAGCTTCAAATCCAAGATTACAAGCTTCAAAAGTGTTAAGAAACATAAATCTAAGCCTAATCTAACCTAAAAATATGAAGGAGAATGAAAGGGAGAAGCTAGGGCTCAACCATGGGTCAAAACCAAGTAAAAATGACAAAAAACGGAGTTTATAAAAAGTTGCAGCAGAGGTGACACGGCCAGGGACATGGCCATGTCCCTGGCCGTGTCCAAAATAGCAGTAGCTACTGGAATGCACAGAAAATACACGGCCACAGACACGGCCGTGCACTTGGCCGTGCACTTGGCCGTGTCTTTTGGCCTTCAAAACGTCAGAATTTGGATCTATGGTCTTCATGAAAGTTGTAGCCCTTCGAGTCATATTTCCAATTCCGCAAGAATCACTTCATTTGGACATTCCTAAGCCGAGATATGGTCCAAAAATCAAACAGTGGTCAGTTTTGGATTGTAAGTTTGGAACTTCAACTTCAAGGACAGTTTTGAACCCTGTGACTTCCTTTTTAGGCTTTGATGTCTGAATATGAGTTGTAGATCTTTGAGTCTTCTTTCCAATGGGACAAGAATCACATAATTTGGATATTTGTAGACCGAGATATGGCCCGAAAACAGAACAGTGGCCAATTCCTGCGAGAATTTCAACTTGTTGACACTTGTTCCACTTTTGCCTTGGTTTAATTTGTCCATATGATCAACACCATTGAAAACATCACTCTTTGGCTCCTTTGGAAGTGTTGCATCCATCTCCTTAGCTTCACCTTGGCTCCCCTTGACTCCAAATGCATCCAACATGATCTAAAATCCTTCATTTCTACTCAAAGATAATGAATTGTGCATAATGGATTAAATGAGCAAAATAAAGATCATTTTGAACAACATTGTGACACTTCATAAGCAAAACAAGGTTAAATATGGGGTAGACATGGGGTATAAATATGAACAATTATGTACTTATCATCTATCATCATGAGTGAAGCAATTTGTAGTAAAACTCAATGTATATATGTTATATATGGCAAAAATTTATGTGATCCGTGAGACGGGTCGGGTCAAGATGAAATGTAATACTTATACTATCAAATGTAATACTAAATCATGAGTAAAATGTTTATTACTTATATGGGAAAATACAATACTTTTGAAGGAAAATGTAATATTTTTACATTTTGAGGTAAAATTATTAGGTTTTTCATCAAAAGTATTACGAAGTATATTTTTCCTTATAAATAATGAAAATGTAAAAGTATTACATTTGTCCTCAAAAGTATCACATTTTTCCTTATAAATAACAAACACTTTATTCCCTTAAGTATTACATTTGCATATTGACCCGACTCGTCTTACAGATAACAAGTTGTGAGACCGTCTACACAAGTGTGACCCATTATATATGAGTTAATTTCATTTTTGGTCCTAGATTTATAGGTGACAGTGTATTTCTAGTCCTTTTTTAATCAAAACATCCCAATTTGGTCTTAGTATTATTGTGGCATGACCATTTTTTTTATCCCTGGTCAATGAAATCGTTGAAATGTCGTTAAATACAATGACATTTTGATCTTTTTTATACAAAGTAGGTTGACCTGTTATATGTTTTGTGTTTATTTTTTTTTAAAAAAAATTATAATTGAAGACCAAAATGTCCTTGTATTTAACGACATTTAAATTGTTTTATTGATAGAGGACTAAAAACGGTCATGCTACAATAATACTAGGACCAAAAGTAGATGTTCTGGAAAAAAATACTACAAGTGAATTGTCTAGGTTTTTTTTTTTTTTTTTGAATGCAAAAATGGAATTAATTCTACTATATAAATATCCCCCATGAAGCCAAAATAGTGGGTGTCAACAACATAATAAAGAAAAGGCATATTAATTATAATATGATAACATCTCACATCATGATGATGGATTTTATAAAATGTATAATTATTATTACTATACTAATATATAATTAAGGATAGTACGTTTACCCAATATATGCAACATTATTGGATGTGGTTGTTTATGCATGCAGGCATGCAGCTTAGCCTTAGATTACGACATATGCATGCACACAACGAATGAAAATGAGATCGGAACCAATTTTAATTAGTTGATTGAAACCTATAGCTATTTGCAATAACATATATCTTACGCTCTCTAACGATTTGTCAATTAAAAAATTAAAACACATTATTATTTTTTAAGATCCTAGCCACAATATGATGCAGACATGGAAGCCTAAAGAAGCAGAAAACAGAAGAGAAAAGTGAAGAAGAAAAAGTATCTTCTTCAATATCTATTGAACTGAACTTTAAAGTGCATGTACAAATCTTTTTGGAGCAATTGCTAATCAGTTATACACACGGTTACAATATAACAAAGTAGCACAATTGTCAACTAAAAAAACTCCTAATAGGCAATGATTGAGTAGGCAGCTGTATTTAAGAGAAGATATCAAAGTTCAAACTTCGAGAGCAACAATGTGAGATTATACCAAAATGAATAGATTCCTTATGTGCACTGATATTTGACTCTGTCTGTCAAGCTATTGAGTCATTGTAATTTATATTTTTTTAAATACTCTGTCAGATCGAGATGTAGGAGACCCTACCTTGAAATTGAAGATTCAACCTTTCGGGAGAAGCTATCTCCACTCTTTTTTGTTTACCTTCTTCCTTGTGGGCAAATGTGCACATGGTAGTAGCCTTGTCATCCTTTAATGTATCGTGAATATTAATGAAGCAGTGGATAAGATATGATAAACATTAAAGTGTTCCACCTACTCCCAATGCAAGTCCCACCATTATTAATAATAAGTCTATTCATAACGTTGTCACAACTCTTGATTGAATACCGCACAAAACCTTTTCACTACATATCGACATAGAGCATTTCCAGTACATTTTATTTCTTCTATATGGTTTATAAGCTATTAAATAAGAGTGAAATTTATTTAATGCACACTCTTTAAATAGTAATTGTTTGGGGCATTTTTTTTTTTTAAGGAAGATATGTTTGGTGCTGTTTCATAGGCAATTTTTAAGTATATTTTTGAGCAAGCATTTTTAGTGCCGTGACATCAGCTGATATGCTGCAAACCATAGGGGTATTTAGTAAATAGTTGTTAACTATACGGAGTAGCTGTTAGTTGATTGCATTAATGTGTTTGGCTAGTTGATATCAAAATGTTAGTATTTTGGAGCAATAAACTAGTTGTTACAAAAAGCTAATTAATCAAACACTCATATTGATTGTTTAACCAAATCAAATAGCTAATAGTGGTCAAATAATCCAAATTAGCTAATGAGCTAACTATGTTGCCAAATAGTACTATATAATCTCATAGCTTTGCAAGATTGAAGTGGTTTTAATCCACTTCACAAACAAAAATGTAATAGTTATTTGATTGAGCAATTTTTATTTTTGGTTTTCGATTAGTGTGATATTATCACATTTAGTTTTATTTTTAAAATTTTTTACCCTTACACCTTTGATCTTATCGTGTGTGTATATTTAAAATGAAATAACAATATCACTGAATAAACAACGTAACCAGCATATAATTTCTCCTAACATCAAAAGGATTTTATAAAGAGGAAATTTTCTTGTCGTGCATGTTTTGCCAATATGGGCGGAGGAATAATAATAATAAAATAAAAGACGAAGAAAAGTGGGATGAAAACAAGGACACAAAAACATTAAACACGGATGCATGCATGTCAAAGTCGTCGGACGAGATGGCGCCCAGGTTGTCTGAATCAACTTAATTATATTAGCTAGTCGTCCAACTAAACTACAGAGAGATGAGAGCAGGTAGAGAGTAAATATAGTTTTCTTACTTTTATGGATTCGTGTCGGCTACAATAATGAGTGGCATATTCAAAGATTATGCTCTCATTTTCACCTTTCTCAATTATTTGGATGACGAAAATTATTGTTGTAATCTTGAAAATGACTACAATTGAGCCCGTGGAAGTCACAATCCATGCAAGAAAAGTCCAATAA